AATTGTCACTTTTAACCAGTTCAGTTCTTAAAGCTGTAGTAGGTAACTTTGTGCTGAAACTTTGACTATATCCTGACAGTAGTACATGATAATCTGTGAAAAAAATCAAGGTTCCTCTGGCTCCGCCTAGTTCTCCTAATGACATTTGCAAGAATCCACTGGGCCTGAATGAAAACAACCAATTTTTTTTTTTTTTTTTTTTTTAAATGCAGCTTTATGTGAAGGCTCTGCTTTCACCACTATCTTGTTTTGCAATGGTCACTTGAAATGTTAATTTCTCTCCACTGTTCAGTTTTCTCCAAGCTAATCTGACGTTTCTCTCCTTATCTGAAATTAAAAGTAAATGTGCTGAACTGGAGGAGGAGCTGAAGAACGTCACGAACAATCTGAAGTCTCTGGAGGCCCAGGCTGAAAAGGTAGGGCCAGCCTACAGCATGCTTTCCTTATTCTGCATTTAGACAGGTGACAAAAGATCTGCAGATGCCTCCACTATCCTGTCATGCTCTATAGAAAGTATAAGAATGCTGAGTGACTTTGACAGAGGGGGTTGTTGTTGGGGCAAAGATGGCAGGAGCTTCAGTCAGAAAGACTACTTGACTAGCTGTGACTGAAGGGACATCTGCATTCAGGTTTATGGGAATAGTTGAGACCTGAATGCTTCACCCCTGAGGGGGTCTGCTATTCTATTGGGAGCATTTTCCTGACCTGGTTGGTGTCCACTTGTTCTCTTAGAGGGCAATGAATGCAGTGTGATACTAAGATTGTACCTTTGGAAGTTGATTTATGTAACGCATGTATTGGTTGACATGGTCTCTAAAAAAAGAGGAAGGGGGGGTGCAGACCAATTTTATCCAGACTTGTTGACAGCCATTGAGGAAAAATACCCTTTCCAAAGACAGAAACATAGCAATAATCTTTTTTTGTGAGGAAACATCACATTAGTATTTCCTAGAGGTGGGGCCAAGCGCAAGTCACAAGCAAGTCTCAAGTCTTTGCACTGAAGTCCCAAGTCAAGTTCCAAGTCAGGACAGGCACGTCCCAAGTGAAGTGAAAAAGTTTGAGTTTCTAGTCAAGTTTTTCTACACAAATGATGTTTATCATTCTTTCTGACTTGTGCTCAGTAACGTAATGTTAGTTATTCATGGCTCTCTCCTGCAACTTGATTGGATGCTCTCTGAGTGGTTGAGTCTGCATAATAAGTGTTGACTTGTTGGGATTGTATGTTATTAAGCTGGGAATGAGACATAACAATCTACTTTCTTCAAGCCACCAACCCAAAGCTTCTTTATATCTTTCTCAGCTCTGATTGGTTATTTTCGTTCAGGCCTGGTGGATTCTTACAAATACCATTAGAAGCACTAGGAGGTGCCAGAGGAACCAGATTTTTTCACAGATGTCTCATGTACTACTGTCAGGATATAGTGAAAGTTTCAGTAATAATGACAACAAATATTTTTATAAAAGTTACCGACTGCAGCTTTAATGTTTTGTCTAGTAAAATAAAGGTTAAATAAAAACATAAAAAGGAGAGGTTTCAGAACTGAAATGTGTGTTCAATTTCTTCTTTCTTTAAGAAGTTGTTATGAAGTCACAAGATGTTGTTTTTGCCCACAGTACTCTCAAAAGGAGGACAAATATGAAGAAGAGATCAAGATCCTGACAGACAAGCTGAAAGAGGTGAGCTAGAAGGAATGACGACCTTTAGATATTGTAAACCCTCAATTTATAGGATATTTTATATCAGTATGATGTGTCTCAGCACATCATACTGATGTAAAATAGATAGAGGTAGGGTAGAGGTAGAGCGGGTCCTCCACT